ATTTCAACCACACCCCAAAGCAGACCAACCTCTACTCCTCCTTACTTTTCTATATCACCTTCAACACGTTTGTTAGTTCTAGCCATATTTCTTTGCTAGACTGTTGGAGCTTCACATTATACCCCAGCCTCTACTCCTGTACTCTATGGCGGATAAATCCTAATTGCATTCACGAAGTCTAACGCAATCCTATATACACATTACTCAATTACCCAGCACTTGACACATGTACGCAATGCGGACCTATTTCAATTCATCTTATCGCGAAGGTCGTCTCCCACCCTCATGGAAAGAAGCAGATGTTGTGCCCGTGCCCAAGCAAAGACATGTGCGGGACATAAACAAACACCTTCGACCCATCTCCCTGACACCAATCCTGTTAAAGATAGCGGAAGAGTACGTTGTCCACACTAATGTTAAGCCTGCTGTCCTCTCAAAGATCGACCCACAGCAATTTGGAACGGTGCCCAAATCCAGCACCACGCATGCATTTAAAATCAGTATGATTCACTATTAGGCGAAGTCAGCGGATGGAAATGGATCGACTACGAGAGTTGTACTCTTTGACTTCCTGAAAGCATTTGATTTGATTGACCATCATGTTCTAGCGCGGAAGCTCTCCTCCTATGATATTCCAAGGTCGATTTCGTGCTGGATCATAGACTTTTCAATGGACCGTAAGCAAAGAATAAAACTGAGCCGCGATTGCTTCTCGGAGTGGGAAGCTGTTCCTGCAGCTGTCCCACAGGGGACAAAACTGGGCCCCTGGCTGTTCCTTATCATGATAAATGATCTTTCTGTAGCAGACACAACTCTTTGGAAATACGTTGATGCGACCAACTCTTGTCCAATCAGTATCGAACAACGAGACTAGCTAGATGCAGTTATTCGTAGATGAACTTGTACGACAGTCGGAAGCTGATGGTTTCCAACTCAACGAGTCTAAATGTAAAGAACTGAGAATATCATTCTCTAGATCTGGAAGTTCTGTAGATCATATCACTATCAATGATAAGCAAATCGAAGTTGTCTCGTCCGCAAAGCTGTTAGGTGTGGTAGTTTCGGACAACCTCAGGTGGATATATCCACCCAAGAATATGCTGCTTTTTTTATACAACATGTATACGCCCTGTATTAGTTTTTGATCATTCTTTGCAGCAAAATCTGTCTAATGAAATGGAAAGGTTGCAAAAGCGTGCGTTGCGGATAATACAACCCGACTTATCCTATGCTGAGGCTCTAGTAGCTCTAGACATCACTTCACTGTTCGAGAGGAGGAAGGCCTTGAGTAATGCTCTATTTGGCCAAATTGTAAGGGACCAAAGCCACAAGCTCCATGATCTGCTGCCGCCACGCAACGGATCCACTTATTGCACCCGTAGCCAGAGATACTTCAAACTACCGATTTGTAAAATAGGTTTAAAAACACTTTTATTATTGCGAACAGTTTTAATTATTAGTAGTAATCTTAATTATTAGTATTTTGGTGTTGATACTTCTCCTTTTGTATTTTATTGTAGGTTATATTTTACGGTTTTTATAGTAGTTATCATGTATTTATAGATAATTTTTAGTTCCATTGTAAAGTAAGTCACATTTCAGCGGGCCTGGGGCCTACAATGATTTTACTTCTTAATAAAGCTATCTATCTATCTATCTGCACGCAAACTGAATGACCCAGCTAGTGTCACCTCGTGCTACAGCTGTGGCGCATCTGAGCCAAAAATAAACACCCATTCAAATTTTTAGGAACTAGAACCACTACGTGGAACTTACCGGGGCCCAGTGGGAGACGGGATTGCATAGTTTACCTCTCGCACCCCTCCTCCCTCCTCTGTGGAGGCTAATACTTAGTCTGAATTAACTCATGCAGAGGAAAAGCAACAAAATTTATGAGAAAGGAGGATGTTGTTATAACGGTCTGTGTTATAGTACTGTTTTTACACTGTGATGTCAATAAGTGTGATCTGTATAAGGTTTTTCTTTGTTTTGAAGTTTGAGTGAAAGAGCACAAATCACTGACAGTTTTGGGTTTAATGGTAATGACAAAGATTGCAAAGAAGTTTGTTACAGAATTATCACAATTTTGCCTACACGGTCTGCATTACACTTCTCATAGAACAAACATGCATGTTCATGGAGAGCCTGTAGTGTTGAAGAATCCCAGTAAGTGCATGATTTGATGACAGAGAAACAAACTGCATATATGGACATAATAAAATACTTATTTATTGATGACTGAGTATCATTTGTTAATTCACTGCACATTGAAATGGAGGCATTTGATTGTAAGGCAGTGGTTGATACATAGTGGCATTCATCAATATGACCTATAGTAATTGTAGAGGAAGTATTTCTTTCCTGAACTGGGTAAACAGTAGTAAGTGGTGCAAACTGGCCTTGATTAGATTCTACTATTTGTATAGTAACATTTAATGCATTTGCAACTGCTTGAATGATAAGTGCATCAGCCCATGTACCTTGAATACACATATTATTCAGATATCTTAGCCATGAATTTTCGGTATTGCTTCCAATAAATCTCTCTGGGTTGTCTCTCATAAATTGAACCCCTGCACTACGTATATGCATATGATGGTTGCTATTGCCATATAATTGATGTGATACAGATCTAAAGAAACAATCACCTGCACTGTCAACATCTATTGATTGTAAACCAAGTTCACCTAATCTTGACTGCATCAAATTCTCACAGGAAATAGGAGAGATCAACTGCATTGTTGAGCTCTGATTTTGCATAAAAGGTCTAATTATTACTTCATGATGATCAGTGTTGTATTGAGTAGGTCCTGGCATTCTTCTCAACATCTTTACTTAGTTTGAAATCAAATAATTGGTCATATGACTCACACAATTGCAAGAAAACAATGACAAATATCGACGTGCTTTACATTTTTTCATTATCCTCTGATAATGTCTGCTAAAGAAAGACAACAAATAAGCTTTCTTGGGTATAGCCATTTTATTTAAGTTAATTATCTTTGGATCGCATTTGTTATTACATTTATATGGTGCATGAT